TGTGTGTGTGTGTGTGTGTGTGTGTGTGTGTGTGTGTGTGTGTGTGTGTTTGTTTGGGGGGAGTGTTCAGCTCTTGCCATCAAATAATTTCTCTCACTTGAGGGGCACCCATCATTGGGTGGTCTGGCTGCAAGTCACATTGTTCCTGGAATTTTGAAAATATTTTAGTTATCTTCAAACTTCAGAGGGGAAGAAGGAAGATTAGGTCACTTTAGGATGAATCAGCTTTGTATTACTCTGTTTTAGACTAACACTCCTTAAATAATTAACATGTTTACTTGCAAAGCCGGGCAGGGATCTGACCTCAAGTTTAAGGTAGCAAAGAACATGTATTCAAAATGAGGGCAAAGATGGTTTTCTGTGTGTGCATATTTATGTGCACATATGTGTAAGCCAAAAGACAACCTCAACTATAGTTCCTCAGGTGCTTCCCACCTTAGGTTTTTGTTGTTTGCTTGTTTACATTGGTGTGGAGCTTGCAAAGTAGACTATGCATACTAGCCAGCAAACCCCAGGAATCTGCCTGTCCCCACTGCCCCAGCACTAGATTACAGGTGTGCCACATCAAGGTCTCATTGTGTACACTTTCGTGGACTGGAATTCACAGTGGCTATGTAGAGCAGACTAGCTCTAACCCTGAAGAGACCACCCACCTCTGCCTCCTGAGGGCTGGGTTTAGGAGCGTATGCAGCCACACTCAGCTTCCGGGCTAGAGATCAACTTTACTTTGGCATCTCTACGACTGTGCTTAAGTGAACCTTTAGTAAGGGAGTGAAGGGAAGAGCTGATGCAGAAGCCATGGAGGGGTGCTGCTCTTTAGCTTGTTCCCTCCTGCTTGATCAACCAGCTTTCTCTTAGAACTCAGGACTACCAGCCCATGGATGGCACCAGCCACAATGGACTTGGCTCTCCCACATCAATCACCAATTTAAAAAATGCTGTACAGGCTTGCCTTCAGTACAGTCTTATGGAAACATTTTCTCAGTCCAGGTTCCCACCTCTCACATGACTCCAGCTTCTATCAAGTTAACATAAAAACTAGCCGGCACTAAAATCAACAAACCCAGGCAAAAGCTAAGCTTTTATCCTGCTTTTAATTGCCCACGAGACATCCATTTGCAGTCAAAGCTTTTAGCAAAAGAAGCCTGAATCCTTACTATAGAATCATGTACTATATGCTATTTTCCAATTGACTTATTTCATTTAATAATCTATATGCCTTTTATAATTTCGTAGCTCATATTTTACAATATTGTACTGTCTGGATGTACCATGAACCACTTACCCACTCCCACTGAAAGACAACTTGTTTTATACCCAGTTTGGGCAATTATGCTTAGAGCTGCTATAAATAGCCATATGTAGGTCCCTGTGTTAAAATAAATCTCAAGTTCTTTGTTTCTATCAGGGAGTATGATTTCTGATGTATAGTTGGAGCAGGTCAAGTTTTGCAGGAAAGGATGACCTGTCCTCCAGAGCGGCTGTACCATCTGTATAACCACCAGCAATGAAGAGCTCTTGTGGCTCCAAAGCACCTCCAGTACTTGGCACTGTCAATGTTGGACGTTTAGGCTATTACAATAGATGCTTTGTTATATTTTGTTGATTTAATTTGCATTTTTGTGATAACATATGCTGAGGAGCAACTTTTCTTATAACTTTTTTATCTGTGTGCCTTAATGAGGTGTCTGTGAAAACGTTTAGCCTGTTTCAATTCAGTTGTCTCAGGAACTCTGAATACTTAGTTTAACAGTCCTTTATCAGTTATCTTTTTCAAATACTTTTAAGTCTATGACTTTTGTTTTCTATTTCACATAGCAGACTTTTAAAAATTGTTTTCTGAGACAGGGTCTCCTTGTGTATCCCAGGCTGGTTTAGATTTCTCAACCCTCTTGCTTCCACATCCTAAGTTTGGCATTTATAGGCAGGAATCACCATGTCAAGCTGAAAATAATAGTCTTAAAAAAGGCTGGTTCATCCATTCTTTCTTTCATGCATCATGCCTTTGGTATTGTACCTAAAAAGTCATTGCCAACCCAGGGTAACTTAGATTTTCTCCCACATTTTGTACTTTGCACTTTATGTTTTGATCCATAAATGTAAATTGAGTAAATTTTTTGTTAAAGACATAGGATGTGTCTAAGTGTTTTGTTTTGTTTGATAGGGACGGCCAGTTGCTCAGCACCATGTGTTAAAGACTATCTTTGCTACATTATTTTGTCTTTGTTCCTTGGCCAAAGTTCAGCTGACTGTGCTTATATGTGTTTACTTATGACCTGCCTATTCTGTGCCATTTTTCTATTTGTCTATCCCTGCCTTAGCAGCACAGGCTCAATTACTATAGCTTTAGAGTAAATTCTAAAACTGGGTACTACCAGCATTCCATCTTTGTTTTTCCTCAGTATTGCATGCGTCACACAGGGTCTTCTACTCGCTATATACTTCTCTACTAAGTTATTGTTAATTTTTGGTGTTGCTGGGCATCAAACTGTATATGAAGTCCAGAATCCATTTACTGATACCTACAAAATAATTTTGCAGGTATTTTGACTGGTACTGCACTGATTCTCTAAGTTAAGCTGGGAAGAATAGACATGGAGTAGCTACTTCCCATTACTCAGTTCTTTGATTTCTTTCACAGTTGCTTTTTTAGATAGCTCTTACATATCATTTTGCTATAATTTTTATCTATATCTATTTCACTTAAGGATAGAGATATAGCTTAGTGGTAAAATGTGTGTTTAACATGCACAAGGCCCTGGATTCACTAATTTCCAGCCCCCCAAACCAAACAAGACTCCAGCCTTTGAATGTGATAATGTAAATGACACTGTATTTTAATTTCAAACCACATTTACTAGTTGGAAGTACACAGGGAAGCAACTACCTTTTATATTAAAATTGTACCCCAACCCTTGCTAGTCTCACTTGTTTTGTTTGTTTGTTTGTTTGTTTGTTTGTTTTGAGACAGGGTTTCTCTGTGTTGCCTTAGCTGTCCTGAGCTCACTTTGTAAATCCTCCTGCTTCTGGGACTATAGGTGTGCGAAACCATGCCTGGCTTTCTCACTTGTTAACTGCATAAAAATTTTGGTCCTTTTCTTTATCTACATAAACAATTATATCATCCTTAAGTTTTGTTGTTTTCTTTCCAGTATGTATGGCTATCTTTTTTTCTTAACTGCATTAGTCAGAACTTCTTACATGGTATAAAAATTTTTTAAAAAGTAGTACTTTGCCTGGGTCCCGATCTTATAGACAGCCAACAATTGCATGTTACTGGTCATTATACACTGAGAAACACAGTAAGCACTATCAATTTATTCAATTACAAGTATGATGAAGCAGAATGATAAAGAACAACTATCATAAAATAAACTTGTATTTTTCTTTCCCTTAATTTAGAGTAGCGATTGGCAGCTCAAAGGTTTTTGGGTTTTTTGTTTGTTTGTTTGTTTGTTTTTTCCTAAGCTTATTTTATTTCCTAATTATGATGAGCACTGCTGACTGCAATCTCTTATTTTACTTAAGGGCTGACAGAATTTACTACATTTCTTTGAAAGCACCAAGAGAAAACTTAGGGAACATAGTTTACTGTAAACTCAAGTATAACTTACTTTTATCATACTGAAAGGATACAATGGGAAGCCTAGAAGTCTTATTTATAACACTATTTAAGTGAGATGACATTTCAAGGTTGTCTGGACTATAATTCTGTATTTTGTTAGGAATGCTCACCTCTATTTTGTGGTTATTTTCACAAAATTTTATCTAACAGTTTAGTTGTATTCTAACACTTAGAACATTTGTTAAATGATAGTAAAGGCCTCTGTAAATTGGGCTTTCCAGCTATCAAGAGGCTCATGGTTAAGCATCTAATATTTTCATCAATTCTGAAGGTCAATAATAGAACAGGAAAGTGCTGAGAGAGTCCAAATGCAGCACGTGAGAAATACTGTTGTTGAGAAAAGGGAAGCATGGGCAGGAGGTACACAAAAAGGAAGTACCAGGCTGGGCATGGTGGCACATACCTTTACTCCCAGCACTTGGGAGGTGGAAGCATGCGGGTCCCTAAGAATTCAAGGTCATCCTGGTCTACAAAACAAGTTCCAGGCCAGCTATGGCCACACAATGAGAACTTTTCTCAACCCCCAGGTTCCACCTTCCCAAAAAGGTACTCCAAAGTACTCCAAACCCTGCTTCCTTCCAAACCCATTTCTGTGCATCATTGTTTTGTCAGTCCTAAGCTGACAATTCTGTTTTGGCTCCACAGGTGAGTGTTGAAAGGAACTCAAGTTCTCTGATTGGTCTCAGTAAGAGTTTTCTCATGTGGCAGGCAAAGGGCTGGGTTATTCCCGACTCTAAAAGTCCATGTTTAGGAAGCATTCCTTTTATCTACCACAACTTTTCATTTGGGTAAAGAATATAAAGTCTTAAAGCTTTCCTGGGAACTCAGACGTTAAAGTCAACTAATAGTAGAACACCTTATTAATTTGAGAATGTCCACTGCCAACATGTCACTAACCTCAGAGTTGCTGCAGAGTGAATGATTTTAAAGCACTGCACAACCTAGGTTCTACTTAAGGAACCTGTGATGTGTGTGCTTGTGTGTGTGTGTATGTACATGCAGTCACCTCTGCTTTAATTATAAACTGAAAAATAAATATTTAAAATAAATCTGTATAAAATAGTTCTTAAAATACAAATCTTATCTCATTGCTTATTTTAACTTAACCAAAAATGAAAGAACTAGGAAGAAAAAAAGGACTATTTTAGGTACATAAGAAAATCCTTTGAAAAGGCAGGTGTGGTAACAGACACCTTTAATCCCGGCACTCAGGAGGCAAAAGCAGACAGATCTCCTGGTCTACATATTGAGTTCTAGGACAGCCAGAGATATATAGACATCCAGTCTCAAAAACAAAACAAAACACCTAAAACTAAAAATAAAAAGGGTTAGAGAGCTGGTTCAGCAGTTAAGATCACAACTGCTCTTACAAAAGACCTGGGTTCCATTGCAGCACTCATCTGGAGCCTCACGACTGTCTGTACTACTACCAGTTCTAGAAGATCTGACACCTACTCTGACCTCCATAGGTACATAATTCAGGCACATATCAAACACGAGTTTGAGCCTCAACATTAAAAAAAGAAAAAAAAAAAGAGAGAGAGAACTATTATGGAAATACTTAACTAGAAATCCAGAAAGCTCTTGATCTGAGATTCTTATAAAAAAAAAAAAAAAAAAAAAAAAACAAGTAAAGCAACCTGGTTGCTCTGAAGGTTGAAGGTGCTCAACCTTAATCTTGAGCCCAGGCATTGAAGGCCACTCCCAGAAACTCCTCTCAAAGGATGACATCATTAGCAAGATGAGTGGATGGTGAAGACTGGTGATAAGAAGAGTTATAGAAATCTAAGGCACTAAATATATCTTAACTACAATAAATGATCTTAAGCCGTGGTGACACAAGCCTTTAATCCCTGAACTGGAAGCAGGGACAGGAAGATGTCTGTGAGTTCTAGGCCAGCAAGTGAAACCCCATCTCAAAAATGAATGAAAATAGATATGTTTCAAGCACCAAAGCTACTAAAGCACAAAAAAAAAAAAAAAAAAAAAAAAAACAACAACAACTAAACTCCACAAAGCTAGGAGACAACAGGACTAGCTTGCACAGCAGGAACACATGAAGGCCTGAGTTTCAGGAGTACCAGGTGTGGTGGCACATGCCTGTCATCCCATCCACTCAGAAGGTGGAGGCAAAAGGATCACAAATGATTAAGATTATCATCAGCTACATAGTGAACTGAGAGGCAAGCCTGCATAAAACGAGGCCTTGTCTCAAAAAAGGAAAAAAAAAAAAAGATTTTCTAATTCTAGAAGTGCTTCAGTTCAGAAACGGCTTGAATAGTCAGCAGGCTGTCAACTCAGAGTTCTTTAGTTAGCAATGGATATAAATAAAGCATATACAAATAAGTAATTGATAAATACAAAGGACCAGAACTTCACTTCCAAACAGTAGAGAAGCAATTAGATTTTTCTCTTTATGATTTATTCTCCATCGCTAAAGTAAAGCAAGACTGTTGGAGGAAGGGGTGTCTAGAAGAAATACCTGGGACTATATATCACCATGGTAAATTCTAGAAAGAAAAGGTCTTTTTCCTTCCTAGGGGAGAAAAAAAACTAAATTTAAAAGTTTGTCTTTCAACACTTCACCTCTGTTTTCTTTTCCTTTTTTTTTTTTCCTTCCTGAGACAGGACCTCTGTGTAGTCCTTCGCAGCCCTGGAACTTGGTTCTGTAGACCAGGCTGGCCTTGAACTAAGAGATCCTCCTGCTTCTGCCTCCCTCACGCCAGGATTAAAGGCCTGCACCACCACTGCCCAACTCAGAATTAACAATTGAAAAGAAAATTAAAAAGCAGCCCTCCACTTACATAACGTTAAAAATCACAAGAAAATAAAGTTTTGCTTGGAAATACTTCAAACTGTTTCCAAGCTTTGTGAAATACTTATAAACGGAATCCAGGCACCGGAAGATTTTACAACTGAAAAATTAATTTTAAAGAGTGCCTTTTCAGTCTCTCAATGTCGAGCCCACCGGACACAGGACTCCAAGTAAAAACCTGCTCTCAGAGGCACTGCTTGGCTGTGGTTGACAAACACTGGTCGGTCCCCTCCTCCCTCCCAGACGCAAGTCCTGCACCTTGGAGTGAGCAAAGGAGGGGGTGGGGGAACCGATCTCAGTGCTTCGAATTCTAGCTCCCACTACCCAGCTCCAGGCAGCAGCGCGTGTGGGAACATTCCAGCACCGCTCCCGCCAAGTGCCAGACCCGTGACGACGGGGACACGAGGAGGGGGCGTTGGCACCCAGTGTCCCCACGTCAACCCACGCAAGGGCACCCCGACTGCCTGCCCAGGACAGGCGTTCCCCGTCACGACCTGGAGCGGCATCCCCAGAGTCACCGTTTGTCCTTCAGTCAACGGTCAGCGCTCTGGTCCCTGTCACCTGCCATTCCCTAGGTCGCCCCGCCCGGGAGCGGTGTCCCCGCGGTCACCTGCCGTCCCCTCAGTCACGGATGGGAGCGGCATCCCTACAGTCCCCCAGTCGCGGGACGGGGCCGCTGTCCCCTGTCCCCCGCCATCCCCTAGGTCAACCGCCGTCCCCTCGGTCACGGGTGGGAGCAGCGTCCCCCCCCCCCCCCCCGCTCTCGGGCGAAAACGCCTCCTGCCCGCGCGCCGCTCTCCCTTCCTGGCACCGAGCCGCAGGGCTGCCCCGTGGCAGGCAGCTCCCTCACGGCCTACGCGGACGCTCACCTCATGAGATAGTCCCGGAAGTCCTTGCTCCGGACATAGTCCACCGCTTTGCGCATCAGCGTTCCAGCCATGGCCGCGCCGTTCGCAGGGAAGCCGCTATTCAGACAGATGACACCAGCGTCCACCCGGCCCTCGGCGCTCTCACGGGGCGCCCGCCTCACGACACCCGGGTTCGCCTTACGGCCGCCCAGCGCTCCACCAATGAGAACGCGCCGGGCTGAAGCGCGCGGCCGCGATTGGCTAGCGTGGGCAACACACCTCCTGCCGGCCCTCGGGGTGGCGCGCGCCGCGGGGCTGCTGTCGCAAAAGGGCCGGGCGGCGGGGACTGGCCGGCGGTTGGCAGGGGCCGTGAGGGTGACATTTGTCTGCCCCGGGGAGCCTGGGCTGGCTGGCGTGGTCTTCGGCGGGCGCGGCGGGTAGGTCCGGCTCCCGTCAGCCCGCGCCGGTCCCTTTGCTCCTCCGGCGACCGCAGGGAGACTGAGATCCCGCAAGCCGGGGGGCGACCGACTGGGGATGGAGTCGCCGAGTGCAGACGGGGGGGAAGGCAGTTAAAAATAGCACAAAGCCTCAGTCTCCAGGAGTGTGGCTACCCACGTGTGAAGAGGAAAGGTTATGTAAGTCCCCTCCGTGTGCGCACGGAGGGAGCGTTAGCTGGGACACCCGCGTAGGCCTGCGTTGAGGCTCCGGGCCACGCCCGAGACGTGGCGTGTGCAGTAGAGCGGAGCGAGCTGGGCTGAAGGAAAAGTGAAGGGCCTGGGTGCCTTGCTCCTGTCACCACCACCTCCCCCTGAAAAAAGAAAGGCGATCTGCATCTCCGCCGCTTTAAACCGGATAGCACAAAGACCACGACTGTCTTCAGCCCTCACCCTAGGATGTCATTATGAAGGTTGATAGCGCTGGGACTGTAACCACTGTTGGGAGGGTTCTTGCCTGGTTTGCGCCGGAATTCCTGGCTAGCTTCCATCCCTCGCACTGCATAGGCGGAGAGGTGAATTAGCAGGGTGGGTGGGGGGGTGGAAACAAGAGGACCAGGAGTTCAAGGTCACCACTGGCTCACCTGGCTGAGTCGGCAGGGTTGGGGGTTGGGATGGCTGTTGTTAAGCAAATGGTAATCTCACTTCTGCGATTTCCCCTTCTGCATATAGTAAACGTGCACGTTTTCTCGGGTTTAATTTTTGCCGGTTTATTCTAGCAACCTTTTGGGAATAGAGGGGACTCTCTCTTCCTTACAAAAGCATAACTTGAAACTGGGCGCTGTGGCACATTCCTTTGATCCCAGCACTCTGGAGGCGGAAGCAGGAGAATCTGAGTTTGAGCCAGGGCTACTCAGAAAAACCTTGTCTCAAAAAAAAAAAAAAAAAAAAAAAAAAAAAAGACAAAACGAAAAACAAAAGCACAATTTTTTGCTTTTTTTCCCCCAAAGCAAGGAAAATTGAGTCATTTAGAATGCTTCTGGGACTCTGGAATGCACTGGCAGAAATGTACATACATAGTTTTAGATCAACTTGGCTCAAGCTAAAGCCGTCTGAAAGCAGAGAGCCTCAACTGAGAACATGCCTCCAAAAAATCAGGCTTTAGGGTGAGCCTGTGGGGTATTTTCTTAATCAGTGATTGATTGACTGGGGAGGGATGGGCCCATTGTGGATGGTGCTATCCCCTAGGCATGTGATTCTGGGTTTTATAAGAAAGCAGGCTCTAGGTTCCTGCCCTGCTCGAGTTCCTGTCCTGACTTACCTTAACGAACGGTGATATAGAAGTGTAAGCCAAATAAACCCTTTCCTCCCCAGCATGTTTTCGGTCATTGTGTTTCATAGCAGGACTAGAAACCCTAATAAGACACATCAGCTTCAGTGGGGAAGTGACTGAGGTAATTCTATGAAATAAATGTGATACGCTGGCTTTCAAACATTTGGATTTATGTCTGCAGGTTACTGCTGCCAGCTTCCATTTGAATATTTTTCTGCCCTGTACCCCATCTTCTCTCTTGTGTTTTATAGTAAGGCTACTTCTGAGACTCATCAGCCAAGCTTCAGAGATGAAGGATCATTGAGAGGACAAGAGGGCTCATACACTGTTGGAGATATAGGAGAATAGTCTGGCATCTGTGTGACCCTTTCAAGGCTCAGGGAACATTGTGGAAGAGGGAGAAAGAATGAATTTAAGAACTGGAGGAAGGGATGGATGTTGTGGTGTACTGTCCTCTGAGCAAAACAGCCACACCATTTTCATCTGATGAGCTGTGGCCGCTTGCAAGACAGCATCACTAGTAGGCCTGCTGATTGTTTATACTTCCTCAGAGGAGGATGGGGTAAAACCTCAGCTGAGATTCCTGTATCATGCAGCCATGTGTGTGTGATTCTGCCTTAACTGCACCTGTTCTCCAGGCCTCAGCAGGTGCTAGACCATCCAGGTTGGAGAAAGGTAAATGAAGGAGGAACTCCATCTAGGCCATTGTGGGGAAGCCACTGTTTTGGGGTCTCCCACACTCCCGTAAGCTGCCCTTCACCCATTCTTTGTAAATAAGCTCAACACTCATTGGTTCTGCAGGTTGAACTTCAGAGGGGCCTTATAGGAGAGGTAGACCCAGTTTATGTCTCCCCAGGGAGACAATTCTCAAAACATGGGCACTGACCTCATTTCCTTCTTAGTAGTCTCACCCTTGCCCTGGTAGGGTTAAACAACCAAATCCCTGTTATGCTCTAATTAACTAAGTGCAGCTGGCCCACACCTCTGTTCCCTTATCACTCAGAACTCCGTACCAAATGTCTCAGAGAATAAATTAAAGGCCATGAGGCCAGGTATCCTGGATCAGGCCCAGCCTCCAACAGAAACTCCCTTGCTTAACCCATGTTAAAATTTGATTGGATGACCCTTCTGTTCACCAAGGCCCCCTCACCTTTTGGTTCTCACCCTTTAAATATTCAATGCAGCTTCCCCTCGGGTACTTGGTCCAGATCCCAAACTGGCTACCTCCCTGAGCTCAGAAAATAAAGCTTTCATTTTAAGCTTCCGTATCTGAAGTGCATTTTCTCGGCTTCCACCCTGAAGGTTAACCAGAGGTTAACCGGTGCACAGAAGAGTAGTCTGAGATAACTCTGCTCTCCCTCTACTCCCTGTCCTCATGTCTCAAAAGGTGAAACAACTGTTATCCTTTGCATTCTATCTCTGCCGCCAACACTCTGCTTAGCCCATTAGGACATTTAACCTGGTTCATGGGGCGAAGGGTGTTTGGAAGGATCCAAGACAAAGAAGTCACAAAAGAAAGGTCTCTCAGGCAGGCAGCTCTGTGGCTCCCTAGTGAATAAATGGAAGAGAGTCAAAGGACTCAGAAACATCCCCAGTCCACAGCCACTGTGGAAGTGAGGAACTCACACACTACAAGCCTCCCCATCCCCGAAAGCTGGGGCCTGGATCATGGCACCGGAAGGTGCTCATCCATGCTGCAGACACTATTCTTAGTTCCTGCACAAACACAGCCTGTGTCCTCAGGAGCTGAGGTGGAAAGGGGAGCTTCTTGGTCATGTAAGTATAGGAAGCCTATTTGCATGAGAATGTTCATTAGTTGTAGAGTTCTGAGGCCTCCTGTGCCTTGATGAACTGGGTCAGCCTGCATCCCTTAGCCCAGGGCTGGTCTGCCCAGAATGGCTTACAGGTTGGTAATCCTGTCTTGACCACTTGAGCTATCTGAGTTGGGGTATCCTGGAATGCTCAGAGTTGCCCACAAGTGGAAGTCGTGAAATCCTATCGGCTCTCACTCTCCTAATCTTAAAAAATGGGCACAGTAACTCTTATGTTAGACTTGGTAGGTTGTTGAATTCTTCAGAAAATTCATAGGGATAACATTCTTGGCAATGAGAAAATCAATGATGGAATACATGCTTACCATGAGCTGGGACCCAGTTTGGTTGCCAGGACCAAACAAACAAATGGAAAGCGAATGACATCTTGATGCTGTCACAGCATACTCCATAATAACCCCCTTCCTTCCTCTTGAGGGATCATTTGTGCCGCTCTGCCTTCTCTCCTCCTCATCTGGCTAATTAGCTGGGTTGCAGTCCTCTAAAGCTGCAGGCCTTAGGTCTCCTCTCATGGGGCAAAGGGTTTCTGAGGGCATCCCTGCCGACTACTGGCCTTGGGGAGGGGTGAGGCTGTGGCCACTCTTGCTCTTTGTCCTGGTCTGCTCGTCTGCATCTCTTGCACAAGCTCCTGTTTCCATGCAGGGTGGAAACCAAGTTTCAGGAAGCTAGATCAACAGTGAAGTGACATGTCTCTGCTTACAGAGCTTCCATGAGGAAGCTGAGCTTTCTGACCCACCAACAGGTGCAGGGGCCGTGGTTGCCAGGGTGCCAGGTGTCCCCCAAGTCTACTCAGCATACCAATAGCAACAGAAAAAAAAAAAAAAAAAAAACATCTTTTAGGGGTTCCCAGTGGCCACACACACAGCAGAATGTGAAGATTGAAAAGAATATTTACTACAGATGTCCTAACACTGACATAAAGTTCTACGAATTCCTGGTTCCCAATGGGAAAAATAACAAGACGATAGGATAGGAGAAAATGTTTGCAGGTCACCCATTTGATAAGGGATCGAGATTCACCAATAAAATGACAGCCTGTTACATAATTAACAAAGTTGCTGAGTAGCCTTTTCTCCAAAGCAGATGTACAGTCAATAGGCCCCAGAGCATGCCTGACGCTGGTCACACTGCACTGCAAGGTGACACCCCTCAGTGGTCATCACTGGATTTTATTTTTTGTGCAATATTTTACATGCATGATTCATGTCAATCAGATGCTAACTCTTAATTGACAAAACTTGATCCGTATTTGAATTTCATTAAATGTACTCTTAGATGCATAGCCACATAGCCTAAACCGAAAAGTTTTCCAAAACTGAGCCTAGCCATAAAATCATCAGGTACAGTCAGATTGACAAAATGGGTTTGTCTTTTTCAGGAGAATTGATTTCCTTTGAAGCAAACATGACAGTTTTAAAATCCCATCAAGTCAAACAATCTTACCTGCTCTCCCCTCCTCTCACACTCTCTCTTTCCTCTTGGTTCCTCCCTCCTGCCCTCCCTCCCCACAGGGTTTCACTCCTCACCACATAGCCCAGGCTGGCCTGGAGCTCATGACCCCTGTGCCAGCTTTCCTGGTGCTGGGATTACAGG